AACAGAAAAGTTGATATATCTCAGCCAATTTTTGTCCTATCATGTTGAAATTTTTACCAGATGTTCTTTATAGTATTTACAAACTTTTGGGTATAATTATTAATATAAGTCAAATAGTTAAAATAATAAAAAAAATTTTATTTGAAATATAGTATAAGAATTTTTTTGTTTTTCAACCTTTATAAAATAAAAACTAATTATCCTACAAACAAAGTAATACCCAGGATTTCAGTAAGTGTACATAGCTACAAAAAGACACCTAGTTGAACAAAATTGATCAACTATTTTATGAGTTATATCAAAAATAAAAATGTGTTACGTTATGATACATAAAAATACATAAAATGGTACTGTGGTACATAGAGTGGCTACAACAAATAAAATAACAGTTTTTAGGCCAATTTGATATAATAAATATCTTAAAAAAATGATAAACATAAAAAATTTAAAAAATGTATTTTCTGAAGCCTGGATCCCCTTAAGGTTATTCCACTCGATAAAATCATAGATTAAACACTACAATTACGTGTCAAATTAAATGTTATGAAATTTAAAACAAAAGTTTTGAATAAATTTTCAACATATGTTTTGAAATAAAAACAAAACAGAAGTTTTCTAACTAATCTTGCATCGTTGATTATTTAGTCAATGGGGCTATTTCATGTTAAACATTCCTTCAGCACAACAATAACCTACTAATGTGAAGAAATGTAATCAAAGTAAAATAATTTTGTAAACTTCGTGAACATATGTTTAAAGAAACCAAATCTTAAATGTTTCAGCCATTCTACTTCCATTTACTTTGATTTTAACCATCTCCCACGATTCTACTAAATTTCATGCGCTTGGCTAATTTACATACAAATACACAAATTTGCAAATTGCACAGTAAAATTAATTTCAACATTCTAAGACATAACGACAAAAGTCTCAATTGTAGGTAACGTCATCCCTGGTTTTATATAGTATACAGTACATTGCAGAATTTACTGGCAAATGAGTTAAATCCAAATGTAATATTGCTTACTGGCTTAGATGAATCTCGATCAGCTGTATACTATTGTATACTGTATAGTATTGAGGTAAACAAAAATCAACAGACAAATGGCTTCTAATGCTATTCTTATGGAGAACATTTTACGTTATATTATTGACTAAGTCAAAGGTTTTATCTAATTTTGTGTTAAAATTTGGGGAATTTCACTATTTTTCCGGGATCGAGACCTTTAATTTGAACCCTCTCCCGTCGTTCTACGACTACCCAGTCGCCCACCATTTTGACGCAAAGAATCGGCTTTCGTAATTAATATATAGATAGATATTTAATTTCCACAAAATCAGTTAATGTAACCAATGCGTTTCGTTGAATTGAAAAACAAAGAACACAATTAAATTAAACAGCTGATGTAAACAATATTATGTTCTTCGAAAGGATAACATGGGAACTTAAAAAGCCACTGTGGCAGAGGCCAAGGGACTTTTTCAAAAAATTTAGGCCAGTTTGCAAATCTACGCAACACGCTCTTTCCAATGAGACGTCAGTGGATAAAATCGGTTAAGAAATGGTGGAGGATTCAACCGACAAACTTCGTGTTCGCGTATTAATTATATAGATTTCATATGTGCATGAAATGTTGGTGTGAAACCAACTTGTATAACTTTAAGCTAAATGGTTTAAGTTACCGGTACCTGGCTTCGTCAAGTGATCCTTCTTCAGTATCACACTACTATAGTTTCGGACTTGAAAATAAGTCCATCTTCAGAAAACGTCAATAGGTCATTGAATTGAATTGAATTGAATTGAATTGAAAATAACTTTATTCATAAATCATACAAGTATGTACATTGAATGGCGTCAAAATTCTTAAAACTACTTAAACTTACAACATAATATCAGCTGTACAGTTCATCAAAATTATACAGTACTTTTTCTGTTAAGTATATTTTAAGCTGTGATTTAAATTTTTTACTATCATCAATTTTCCTCAACCCCTCTGGAAGCCCTTCCAAAAATTTTCTTCCAGCACATGACGGTTTTTTGTTATAAAATTCCAATCTATGGGCATCAACAGCAATTTTGTTTCTATGCCGGGTGCCATATTCGTGATTATCCCCTAGTTTAGGTAACATACTTTCAGACAAAAGATTTTTAGTCAAAAGAACGGTATGGAAAACATAAATGCCGTACACAGTCATTATACCCATGGCTAAGAAATGATCACGTACGGAAACATCCCAGTTTAAATTCAACATTAGTCTTAATGCTCTTTTCTGCAAAATTAAAATTCTGTCCAAATTTTTCTTTGATATTCCACCATAAACACTTATGCCAAATGATATTGCGGATTCAATGAAAGCAAAATAAAGCTTTTTCAAAATATCTGTTGAACAAAATTTAGACATTCTATAAATTGCATAAATTCCAGATGTGATTTTGCTGACAACATGGTCAACATGGGAGTTCCATGAAAGATTTTCATCAACTACTAAGCCCAAAAATTTAGTTGTAGTAACTTGATTAAGATTAGAATTTTTAAAATTAATCACTGGATCAATTGGACTTTTTTGTTTACCTGTTGAAAATACCATAAAGTTGGTTTTACTGGAATTTAAAAGTAATTGATGAAACCAATTACCAAATTGGTTAGATGACCTATTGACGTTTTTGTTAACCTGAAGATGGACTTCCAGAGGCTACCTCACCATGTATACCTTTGAAGTAGAGGCTATATTTATTCCCAAAAGGTATCAAACGCCAGATCCTGATCAAATCTTTTCTATCACTTTAAAGTTTGTTTCGTGTTTTTAGTCTTCACGTACAGAGACTTAAATCTTTGTATTAAATTGTTAGCAATCATAAATCGTGGACAGAATCTTCCACAAAAGATAAATACAATATAGTTCAACACCCTAGAACTCCTTAAAAAAAATATGTTTTGTTAAGGCTTCGTCATAATGTTAAAAATACTCAATACAACAAATTCATTAATTTTACATATGTAAACGTTGATAGTTGTGTGCGTATTGTATTTTAATATATCTTCTGTATACATATAGTCCTCTATATTTTCTGTGTACACAAATGCTTCTGTATACACGTTTTTGCAACTCACAGTAACTGAGAAATATTCTAAACTGGTGAACTGTTTTTATAAATTTTTGCCATTATTTCTCAACCCGTGCTTAAAAAATTAGTGACTCGTGGATAAATCCAGATACGAAATTTAATCTAAATCGGACCACAGGTTTTGTCTGTAGCTCTGTATCTGGATCATACAAGTGTGTATTATATAACCTGATATTAGTCAAAATATGTTTTATTCTATAACGTTTAATTTAATTAAACATAAAAGTCATGCTCCCTCCATTTTTAAAGTATTCAGTCCAAAAATGTAATAAATTTACTTGTGCGTACATATTTATTTCGTTTTAATAAATAATTGAGGTGATGCAATACACTTATGTAGGCAGTCGCAGCAGTCGAATCCGGGCATAGCGCCTAAAGTTTCACGAACGCAAACCGCGCAACGAGTAGCTAAATGAGCCGTAGAGTAAGTGAGCCATCTAATATTTTGAAGAGGGTTCACTTACTCTACGGATCATAGTGCCAATGAACTGTAGAGTAAGTGAGCCATCTAATATTTTTCTGCAGGCTCGTATAGTATACGAGCCTATTCCTATAATTTATATTATTCATTATTTTGGCTCGTATACTATACGAGCCGATTCCTAAATTATCAAATAATTCGTAAGCTTGGCTCATAGTCACTATGATCTGTAGAGTAAGCGAACCTTCCTACTGTATTTTTAAATATAATACACGAGGCTCATAGGCACAATGATTCGTAGAGTAAGTGAACCCTCTTCATTTATTTTTTATTTTCGATAGGCTCGTATAGTATACGAGCCTGTAGTGCAAGTGAACCTTCAATATTATTTAAAAAGCTCGTATAGTCTATGATCTGTAGAGTAAGTGAGCTGTCCCCTATCCAGCAGTCGGAGGGATAATAATTTGGTCTTTTTACCCTCCTCTCAATCTTTTACCATAGATTATGTTTTATCTATGATTAGTGATGTGACGAGTCGGGTACTTTCCTGACTCGAGTGACTCGACTCGCCAACTGCCGTGAACTCGAGTTACGAGTCGAGTCAGACTCAACTCGAGACGTTCCGAGTTCGTGTGAGTTCGGCATTCTCCGTACGAGTTCGTTAGTTTTGCGAGTCGGCCGACTCGGTACCGGCCAATAGCGTGTCAGCTTTACGAGTCAACTTGACTCGACTCGAGACGTTCCGAGTTCGTGTGAGTTCGGCATTCTCCGTACGAGTTCGTTAGTTTTGCGAGTCGGCCGACTCAGTACCGGCCAATAGCGTTGAATCTATGCGAGTTGACTCGTAAAGCTGTGACGCTATTGGCCGAAAGCGAGTGCGAGTAAACTCGAGTCAACTCGTTACGTCCCGAGTTCGTTAAGGTTCGGCTTTCTCCGTATGAGTTCGGTTTCTTGACTCGGCTTTTGCGAGTCGGACTCGTAACGTTACGAGTTCGTGTAGCTTCGGCAATCTCCGTACGAGTTCGTAAAAAGAACTCGAGTTGGAATTGAGTTGACTCGAGTTGACTCGACTCGGGTCTTGACTCGAGTCAACTCGACTCGCCAACTCAACTCGTCACATCACTATCTATGATACTATTACCCTACAAAACACTTAAGTGTGACACCATCATAAAAATCCATCATGAAAATAGCCTACTTAGTTAAAGTTAGTTAGCTGATAAAATTAATTTATTTCGTTTTAGCTTCATTAGTTCAGACATAGATAAAAGAGTAGACAGTCAACCTTTAATCCATGGTTTTAGATAGGTACGCCACATTGATAATATAAGAGCTATTCGGCATTTAATCTAACCTACCCCAGAACAAAAGATAAAAAAAGGGAACAGAAAATGAAATCATCTGTTTAATACAAAAATAAAATATAAACATTGTGTAGACGACGCAGAAGAATCCGCCGAGGCCGAGGTTATGTTTTTCAATTCTAAATTAATTGCGTAGAAATTCTAGAATTGGCTGAAATTTGTTATGTAAAAATTGTGATTTAAGAATACGTTTTGATACAATTTGATTATAAAGGTGAGATAAACTCAACAATGAATTATTTCTCTATATAATAGACATAGGGCTATATGCTCTAAAAATATATTGCAATGCTAGTAGCCTAGGCCTACTAATCCAAGCTGATTGAAAGTAAATTGTGTGCAGTTATTGATATATTTTAATTGAAGCGAGTAGACAAATTATTCTGCAATCTACCTATATTTCCATTACTTAGATTTTTAGTGTTATGAAGATTGATTCTTGATTGAGAACCAGGAGCCACTTCTCATTGTGGCCAAGATCAGGGCATAGAACTTATGTAATATTACGTTAGTTCATCTAGGTCTATGGTCAGGCTTAACAAGGGTGTAGTATTCACAACCACTACAATTATGAGTCTTGTAAAGACAATAACAGAAACTTTTTCTCATTACGAGTCAATCCTCCGCAGACTGCTATGTCAGCAAGCGCTTTTGATGTGGTGTCCGATGAGCTACTGACAGGCAAACTGACAAAGTATTGTGTTGGGCGGAATTGTACCGAATTCCTTACCCTATTATAACTTATGGTAAATCGCAGGCAAGTAGTTACAATAAATGGGTCCTTCTCCTGCCTAAAGACATCTCAAATGGAGTGCCACAGGTCTCGGTGCTCAGCACTCTCCTTTTTAGTGTATTGGTAAACAATGGGGCTGAATGGTTCTACTCTCCTTTTCGCTTACACCACCACCTTGATATCTAGAGGAATCTACATTGAACAACTGCATACCAAAACTGATGATCTTTTGGAGCTGGCCAAAAACTGGTTCACACTAAACCGCCTAATAATAAATGCAGATAAAACTCAGACCTTGCTCTGCACTCCGAAACAGCTCAACAAAAGGGATGAGGGGGTGAAACCTCTAGGGTACTCGTCAAACCCTACACCTTGACATTGCACCATGTAGTCTTAGTGTATACGCTTAAGAGTTCCCCATTGTGCCATGAGGCTCTTTAACACTCTGCCGGTGAAGGTGCGAGGGATGAATATCACCTCTTTAAAAGCGGCAATTAGAAACTGCCTGGTAAAACAACTACTGTAACTTACTCGCTAGAGGAGCTGAGTGAAGAGCCCCTAGAAGTAGCTTTAGAGCCCCTACCCTTCAAATGTTTTATTTTCTGCCACAGCCTAGTTTGAGTTTCTTGTATGTTAATCGTAGTGTTTTAAATGTACTGACGCAATCCATCCAACATTGTCGATCATCGATGAATGAAGTATTAAGTAACAAATAAACCTAAAAAGTCGATACTAGTTCATGCTAAAAGCTAGTGTTCTTTTTTCAGGTTGAGTTGGAATTCAATGTTTTCACTGTCCCAGTTAAGTTCTCCATGGTTGAAGAGTTCTTTTAAAGTTGGATTGCTCAAGCCTAACAAGAGAAAGATCTACGATGATTTGCTTATTGTTTTGACAAACAATCTACATTTGCCGAACGACAATGGGTTTCTGAGACAGTGCAGTCTACCGAGTGTGATCAGCAATGATACGTTGCCGTTTCAAGCCAGAGTGGTTATCTGCGGAGCCGGTGTAGTTGCCAACTCGGTAGCGTACCATCTCGTACAAAATGGCTGGAATGACATTGTGGTTGTGGAGCAGGGAAGGTAACTTATTTCAGCTACGTAATAAGTTAGCTTATTTTATGAACGTTAGTAAAATCTATAGGCCCTAATCCAGGATATACAAAAATTGACTGTTTAATTCAAAATGGAGAAACGGATCTTTTAAAACTAAGGATAAAATAAACAAACAACTTATGTAATTTTTTTAAGGTAGCCTAAAATAAAATTTGGTGGAATATTTTTATCGAACCAAATAAAAATCTATAGCTTACATATCGATACCTATTTAATCTGATAATATATCCCGCGGAACTGTACTCAATATTTAAATCTAAGTTATTTGATAGGATATTTAGGATTTTCATGAACTTTGATGGTGTTTTAGTATCCTCATTTATGCTTATGTTAGACTAAACTATATTAATAAAACTAAAACTTTTATGATTTGGTTTCAGTATTTGCGGAGGAACTTCCCATTTCGGCTCTGGTACTCTCGGTCTGTTTAAACCGCTTGCTGAAAAAAACATAATTTGGAATAGCGTCCATCTCTACCAAAAACTTCAAGACGATGGATATAACCTAGGTAAGACTGTTTTTAGGAAATAGTAGTAGGTTAACATTAGGTTACCGGTAATAAGTAATGTTTCCTTCCAATAAATTACAATCACGTGACACGTAGGCCTACCTCGTAGGTCTGTAGGATTGCTCATTATGCATGGTATGATTACAACTGTTGCTCGGCTATCGTGTTTAGTAGGGCTTTATATTATGGGATATTTTTGATTTAATTTATATTATTAAACATTATAGGTACATATATAATAGGTCATGTCAGTTAGTAGAACAAGTTAAGAAATCGTAACATACGAGGTAGCCTACGTTCGGAAAGTAAGTTCCGTTTCCCCTACTCTCCCGGATATCGCTGCGATCGCAAGAGTTACTCTGTGTCAACTGGAAGGAAATGACGCCATCCTATCTTATCTAAAAGGGGCAGGCCGAGACCATGAAGCACTTCATCCGAAAATCAAATTATTGCACACCCCAGACAATTGTTTCCTTGATAGACCTTACAAATTCAGGCACACAATGAAAGCCTGTAGTTTCCCAATTAGTTCCTTCTCGGGAAGATATCTACCTCTTGCCACATTGCCAAGAGTTGTCTTTCTAGCGTCAGAGAGCTCATCACAACCAAATGACGCCATTTTGAACTCACTATTGTTGTCTTACACTTCGTAGGGCTTGTTTGTAATGGCTGCGTTAATTAGAATCCCGTAGATTGTGAAATGATTGAATATTCAATCGGTGATTCATTTTCTTAATGCAAAAGCGTTAAAGCAATTGTCATTCACCGACAAATCTGTGAGGTTAATGGGGACAATGTAGTGTGTGATTCAATGGTTCAAAGAAGGGCGAGATATAGTGCATGATGAGGAACAAAGTGGACGTCCATCTGTGGTAAACGATGAACTGATTAGTGCAGTCAATGAGAAGATTAAAGAAAACCGTAAGTTTATGATAAGTGCTCTTGCACATGAATTTCCACAAGTTTCACAAACAGTAGTTTACGAGATCGTTACTGAAAAACTTGACTTTTGTAAACTTTGCGCACATTGTGTGCCTAAAACCGTTCTGAATGGAACACAAACCGCGGAATGTGTGACAAAGACACTTCTTCAGGGCTTTGGCTGGGACGTTTTTGAACATTCTCCATACAGCCCTGACCACGCTCCAAGCAATTATCATTTGTTTCGCAATCTGAAGTCTTTTCTTGGCAGTCAGCGATTAATCTGCGATGAAGAGCTGAAAGAACGTGTTACCTCATGGTTAACTACATCGGCGGCAACATTCTACGAGGAGGGTATACTCAAACTTGTATCACGTTATGACAAATCCCTCGAAAATCGCGGGAGTTATGTAAAAAAAATAGTTCATGAGTTGTAGATTTTTAAAAATAAATTTCTTTCCTGTAGGCCTATCTGTACTCATTATTCTTTTATTTCAAAACGTAACTTACTTACCAAACTTACCTTACAAGCAAGTTACAGCAATAAAAAGCTTTGGCCTTCATGCAAGATAAGTTAATTTTAATATATTTATCACATCAATAAGTTTCTGATTTAAGAACATTTCAGATCTAAGAAGGGTGGGCAGTTTGAACCTCGCACAAACAAAAGACAGATTAATATTTTTGAAGAGAAGGATGTCATGCCACACGTCCACCGGTCTACAGTGTGAGGTAAAATTTACAATAAGAAATAAGTTAATGTAGTCTACCTGAAAAGTATGGTGGTTTATCAGCAAGACAATATATTCTGAAGTCTAGAGGTCTAAACGAATCCCCCTTGACCTAGCTAATTTCAACGCAAGTTAATTAATTGACGCTTTGCCTCGCCAGTTATTTTTGTGTTATATAGACCAGCCAATTCTTAAGACAGGACTCATTGACTGAATTATGTGTGGATTAACGTCCGCACTAGTGAGTACTATGACGATCTGCTGTACTATCCTTATAATTAGACCAATTCCTAAATTACAATGCAAAAATCAGGGGCCGAGACCCCCCTCTGGATGATGCCCGAATCCTATACTAAACTATACTTTTGGACCAGTAACATCATTAGTTTATGTTTATGATAATTACCGGGTCTGTTCTAATATCGTTCTAATTTATTTAAAACTATATAAATAACACAAAAAGAAGGTTATTAATAATGTGCAGTTCGGACCTATAACAAGAAGTCCAACCTTGAGCTTATCAGGAGGGGGGGAGGAGCGAGCTGGTCTAGTGGTTAGAGCGCGGGACTTTAGTCCCTGAGGTCCCGGGTTCGATCCCTGCCAGGTCACCAATGGATTTTATCTAAGTGATAATGCTGCAACCCCTAGGTCTAGCCTGAAGTAATGTGAAAAACAATCCCAGGCTCGTGCCTAGCGTCCTAGGAAAAAAAACCTTGAGCGTTAACAAATTACTACCTTTTCCATTCATACCATACCAAAGTACTATATTGTTTCTAGTTGCTGGGACCCAATGAGCTGAAGCGTCTACACCCCTACCTTTATACAGAGGACTTGGAGGGGGCTGTGTGGGTACCTGGAGATGCAACGTGTAATCCAAAGGCTATCTGTCATACGCTAGCCTCACTCGCCAACCAGGGAGGTAAGGTGAGGTTTTGTTTTCTATACTTTTTAGTACTTGGTATTTGTCGAGTTGGTCAAGTAGTAGAGCTCGGGACTTCGGTCCCCTAGGTGTCTGGTGCAAATCCTGCCGAATCACCGATGGTTTTTATCTATGTGATGATGCTGCAACCCCCAGGCCTAGCCTGAAGTAATGCGAAAAACGATCCCGGGTTGGTGCCTTACGTCCTAAAACCCAAAAAGCATTTTAGAGACTAATTTTTTAGTTTTTTTGAAGAAATATCCTTTTGGTGCTCCCTGAACCTAAAAAGCTTAGGCCTATTATACATTGGGAATGGAAATCTTTCTTTTCCATTGATATAGTGTGTTCTGTGTACCATTATGGCATTAGAGACTACACCAGTGTTATATTCTGCATGTATGTATAATCTGCATGTAAACTGGTAGCAAAATTAAAACAAATAAAAACTGTTCATTTAATTGTTTGGGTAGCTAAAGGGTTGTTGTGCTCGCCTTCAAATTTGAAGGTCTCTGGTTTGATTCCATCAAGATCGTTTCCAGACCCAGGTACCATTTTTCATTGGGTTGTGAATTAATGATGCTATCTGAGAAAAGGTCGACTGTAGATAGTAACAAGACTAGGATTTGGGCTGTTCCCTTCCAAAATGTAAAAACTGCCATTGGCGTAGAAAAACACACAAAATAAAATAGAATAAAAAACTGAAACCTTAAAAAAATGAAAACAAAAACCAAACAAAATATTGATACAAATTTGCCTAACCAACTAAAAATCTTCTAAACAATTAAATCTTATTTATTTATAATCAAATTCAAATATTTGCCATGAAAATTGGACCTGTTACAACATTTTAAAACAATCTGAATTCTGAAATATTTAGTCTAAAGAAGGTTAAGGTTCAGATGTTTTCACACACCTATTGGAAGTACATTCTTGCTGTCTGATTTTGTTTTAGGAGCCCAGTATGTCGAAAACTGTACTGTAGAAAAAGTTTTGTCCAAAAACGGAAGAGTAGAAGCTGTAGTGACTAGTTTGGGGACTATAAAGTGTGAAAAGTTTGTCAACTGTGCTGGCATGGTGAGTATCATTATTCTCTTTTCCTCAAAGAGGTAGGCTTTGTCTTGCAAACTACGATGTGTTCGATGAGTTGCATGCGACATGTGTTAATAGTAACAATTTGTTGACAATCAATTTTAGTACTTGTTTGTCTGATTCTCATACCAAGGTGTTAACTTAAATGTTTATGGTTCTATCATCATTTCAAGGCTAGAAAAAATAAATAGAAGCATACAAGGTCTACTAAATTGCATAGGCCTACTTGGTACCTATTTCTTACCAAACAGGAGCTTTGAATAAAAAAATACCCCCGCCGCAGCAAACCTGCAGACTAAGTGAATTTACATTTGTGGATTGTTGTATAAATGAATTGAAAAAGGTTAAAATACTTGCTATTAGACTATGAAAAAAATTGCAGATAACATAACTTGTTTCAGCCGATACAATGGTGTTGGTTTTTATCTTCCTATGAAGATTGTCAAAGTTGTTGAAAAATAAAAAATTCTGGTAAATGATTAGCTTATAAATTAAAGGACAACACGAGCCCATTGGAGTTTGAGTCTAGACTGCAGGTGGTCAATGTATTAGGTTTGTACGTAGTCTCTTATCACTTCAGGTTTTACTAATTTTTTTACCCTTCCCCGTTCTAGTATTCTGATAACATTAGACGAGAATTTAAGTTTGTCTGGCTGTCTGATATTGGTTTATGTAACTAGAAGTTTTATCTAGCTGTGTTTTGGATTGTCTAATAGCAGGTATTTTAAAAACCTTTTTCCATATTACTCGGCAATCCATATGCTATTACATACCTACAGTGAAGTATTGTGCTGTACCTAACCACTTATCATTGGGATACAAACTGTTAGCATCTTACTAACAATCATGTGTAACAGTGGGCGAGAGATCTGGGGCAGCGTTGTCTGCCTAAGGTGAGAGTTCCGGCGTATCCGGTACAACACTTCCTTGTGACTACAGAGGAACTGGGCGGCCTCCCCCCTCCAGACACCCTACCCTACGTGCGTGACTACGACTCTCAGACCTACATCCGTCAGTTCGGCGGGGGCTTCATGGTCGGAGGGTTTGAGAAGAACGCCAAGGCTGCGTTTGTTGACACCAAGATACCTCGCGACTGGCAGGGGAAGCTCGCTGAGGACTGGAACCATTTTTGTAAGTTTTGTAAAGCTTTCAGAATGAAAGAGTTTTTTTGTAGCTTTTTTGGAAATACTTTAAATTTGATCTTTGTGATGGATGGTCTTTGATAGTATGAATTAACTAATAAAGGTAATTTTGTTGAAGGGAAGGCTCTAGGCCAGGATTTTCAATTGTAGAATATGGGAGATAGCAGCTAGCTTACGTTGAAGAATCGTAGGTAGGCCTGTATCTCCGCTGTGTGTTTTATGGCCATTGAAGAAGTTTACGTAGGCCATAAAACACACAGCGGAGATACAGGCCTACCTACGATTCTGCTATCCGATAGCTGCTATCCTCCTTATTCTACAAAATAATAAAGATTTAAGTCATATTTTTTCTGTCAAAACGATCCTTTGTTGTATTAACTACATTACTATTGTAATTAACTACAGCAGTTTCAAGCTGTCGGGAATGAAGCACATTATCAGGTGTCTAGCCATCCCTCTTGAAGTTTGTCAGGAGATTTAAAAGGAAAAAACACATGATACAATTTAACACCAAAACAGAACATTTATTAAAACTGGCCAACCAGACGCTGATAAACTCTACATCTGGCTCGGTGAGTTGTGATATAAAGAAGAAGTTGTAACTTGCCTTCCTCCACCACAGGAAAAAAACTTACTGCAAAGTCTCGTAAAGTTTGATCTTTTCTACAAGTCAAGATTTGTTAATAATATTAAGTAGTTATACTACTATGCAGGGTCTGATCAAGATCAAATTTACTTAAATCCAATTTCATTCAATTTTAAAAATCCATCATCATCATCGATCATTTAATTTTAATTTTTATAAATCCATATTTTTTACAGCACCGTTATGGGAAGCAGCACAAGATAGAATTCCTTTCCTGAAAAACTCCAGAAACCCAGTGTTGACGAACGCACCTGATAACTTCACACCCAATGGGAAATGGATTTTGGGTGAAGCGCCTGAGGTGAGAAAACTAAGTTTTCTCATTATTTCAGCTTAATTTTGATTGTTTTACACTTCATAGGAACATTTTATGTTATATGACCCTCCCTGCAGATGATGGAATACCATGAGATTGCATGCTAGATCTGTGTGGTATAACTACAGTGTCATGGGTACATCGAGACAACACCTTTAGATCTTGTCTGAACTAAGAAGAAACATGTTCAACTTTAGGCATTCACTCTTGATTGTAGTTTAATTTTGTGTGTTCATCATGCCACAAAGTTTGCCAACTTATTTCCGGCTTGGGTCCAATAATGCTGTAACTTCAGGAGCAGCTGGTCTTGTGGTACAGCGTGGTAGGGCCTTAGTCCTCAAGGTCCCAGGTTCAAGTTCTGCCAATCACTAACGGCTTTTAGCAAGATAAATGCCTTCACCCTCTAGCCCTATCCTAAAGTATTGTATTAAACAGTTCGAGGCTAGTTTGTAACATCTTAAAATGTGAAATTAAAAACAAAAATAACTTACTAAACTATCTTGCAGGTGGACAACTACTTTGTGGCCGTAGGAATGAACGGAAACTCTCTGCAAGGCGCTGGAGGGATCGGCAAGGCGGTGGCAGACTGGATAGTAGAAGGGACGCCCACCCAGGAGTTGTTGCCTTTTGAAGTCAACCGTTTTGTCGATCTTCACAACAACCGACAGTATTTGCAGCAGAGAGTTGTGGAAATTGTTGAAAGGTATGGACATTTCATCTTTGCAAAAGATCTAGTTGTCAAAACTTTAAGCTTCTGGATTCATTGAATTATTTATACCTATCAATATCACAATCTTACTTATTTTATAAACAGAAAAATTTAATTTCTTACAAAATACATTTTTGGTGGACACACTTAGTAAGTATAAGCAAAAACGTAATAAAATGCCTGATTTTTGTGCAACTACACATGTTGTCAACTTCTTCTTGAGCCAGATTCTGTACGTTACATAAGCCTCTATCTCCAAACTCAGCTACAGATGTAACGTTCATAATTTGCACACCAGGCATGACTGAGACAGAATTTTAACCATTGATCCATGGTGATTTATTTTTACCCGGGAGACATCGCCTTAAACTACTTGGCTAATGTTCAGATCCAAAGGTCTACTACACTAGTATTGGCAAACCCCCAAAGGGCAAATATAGTAGCTTTAAGATTGACTTTCATGTTTCAGTACATGTTGGCTACTGCGGGTTTTGTGAAGTCTTACTTGTACAGCTTGTAAAGATAGTTGTAGTTACACTCTTGACGGTCGACTACATCTGCCAAAGGGTTTAAGATTTTAGCTGAGCACTGCATTAATCAGCTGCCTTTTAGTGATGCTATGTCCTATATAGTTAATTTAAATCATAAGTAAATTTAGGCCTATATAAGGCATATTTTGGAAGGTACTTTGTAGAAGGAACTATTTGTAGAAATTGCCAAAACCACAAACATTTCCAATATCTCATCATATTAAATGTCCTATTAATTAATTTCTATTAATTATCTCCTGTATCCTGACTACTCTATGTCACAGACATTACGCCATAGAGTATCCCACGCAGAGTGAGTACCAGACAGGACGCAGACTGAGATGTTCTCCATTGTACTCTGTGCTAGAGACTCGCGGCGCAGTGTTTGGAGTCAGAATGGGCTACGAACGACCCCTCTACTTCGACACTACTTGTAAAAGTACGTAGTTGAGATACGATTTTGTTATTTTAGCTTATACTTTTTTCTTGTATTTTAAAAATTCAGTAACTTGTATGTTAAGCAAAATGTATAGGGAAGTACCTGATCTGTATTCTGTATATTATCGTTGTATTTATTTCTTAACCAGGCATACAAAAAATGTTTTTGTTAATCGTCATACCAGTAGGTTATGCATGCCAATCCCCCTAAAATTGTTGCCTATCTAACACAAAATGCTGTCTTTAATTTTAATGTTCAATCTAAACAATAAACAAGTTTTTCATAAATTTGAATTTCGCTTTATGAATTCCTATCCCTAGATATTTCAAATACTGTAGTTATTTATCAAGATTAAATTTGTTCTCGTAAATTTGTAGCTTCTTAAACTAGAAAGTGCTTCTGATGATTGGCGATTTACATTCTAGCAAAAACTAAAATACAAAATCACTGTTTTCAGCTGGAAAACCACCAAAAATGCCTGAAGGAACTTACTACAAACCAAGATTTTTTGACTTCATGGTGGCTGAACACTTGGCTTGCCGAGAAGGAGTGGGAATCATTGATATGTCTTCATTTTCTAAAATTGAAATCAAGGTAGTCATATTTTAACGTTATTGCAAAGATTAATAACTGTCTATTTTAAAGGATGGTTTGGTTCTGTGGCTGAAATTATAAATATTTTTGCATTGTAGACTTAAATTCCTTTGAATTTGTACTTTAGAAAATCATCTGATTATTGTATTGTATTATTATCAGCGTTGAAAAAACCATAGTCTTCAGTAGTATCTTATACTGTAGGTATCATACTTACGCCGGACACAGTTAAGATCGGATTGATTCACCACTGTGGCTCATTGGATCATGGTATTTTGTTGTGCAGTCGACAGAGAGGAAGGCAGTGGTCGAGTACCTACAGAAAATGTGCTCCAACGACGTAGACATCCCAGTCGGTGGTATCGTACACACAGGGATGCAGAACGAGCGAGGGGGCTATGAAAATGACTGTATCATGGTGCGTCAAACTGAAAATAGGTGAGGGATATCTTATATCAGATGTAACACCAAAAGAAAAATATATATAATATCTTGGTCTTTGTAAAAAAATAGGTTATAGTTTTGGATTATGGTTTTTCATAGCTAAACTTCTATAACCTGGCTGTGAGTGAGACATGACCAGAAGCAATTTGTTTGTGTGTCTGTATTGGGTGTTTAGCTTTACTTTTAAGTAATGATTTCAAGATTAGGAAATTATGTTTTCAAACTATCTTAAGGCCAGCGGAGCCTAGCCTAAAAGCTAGAATTATCAAGTAACCCAGAAAATCCAGCCGAGGTGAGCATTTATTCTCAAAATGTTACTGTCATCACAGAAAGAATCTGCAATTAAATTGTAATCAAAAACCCATAATGACTCCTCAATGGCGTGAGATGTTTCTTGGGAGACGATTATGATGTTCCCAAAACTTGTTAACGAATTCCCTGTGATTGATTAATTGAGTCGGGCGTACTTTGTACTAGACTTGTCAGCCATATGAGGGCTTTTACGCTCCCCGTTCGGTACCTCAAAGCTCTTCAATCCTAAGTTGCTAAATGCATTGTAGCATCCTGTCTATGAGATTCTTCTTAGGCAGCTGTCCACCCCTTACCATGATTCCAAGAGTTTTTTTCTCTTCTGTCATTCAAAGGTTTTTCAGTTATAAAATATATGTTCGGTAGTCTGTACTGTCCATATTTCCTATGCAGTGTCCCTGTTGTGGATCCTCTAAGCAAGTTAGGTGCACCTTCAGGAGCTACAACCCGTGATAAATTCTGTGATCCGTCTAAATTGCCTCTTTTCTGGACGCAGTAAGTTACAAGCAACAGTCTGAGAATGGGAAGATAAAGTAAGCTTGCTTATCCTATGATACTGAAGCCTTACCCATCCTCTCCTGTGGTCCTTAATCAGCAAGATTGCTATATACTCAATTTTTCCCTGCTTATCTCGTTCACAACCATTAATCTGGCACTACCTAGTTACAAAGTAAAGCCAGATTAGTGAAAGTCCACTGTATACAGATATCATGCTAAAACAATTGTTGAACGACGTCACCTCCATGTACACAGTCATCTGTTTGTTGTTGTTAACCATCTGTTTATGTGACAGTTACTTCATGGTGTCGCCCACCAGTCAGCAGACGAGGATCTACGAGTGGATGAGACGCAACTTGCCCTCCGGCAGTCCTGTGGTGCTGAACGACGTCACCTCCATGTACACTGTCATCAACATGGCCGGACCCAAGTCTCGGGCGCTGCTTAGCGAACTCTCAAACACTGAGTTCCGCATCAAGCATTTCACCTGCAAGGTATTTTGATATGGTTGAATCTTGGGTTTTGGGAGATTACCTCATTAAACTAGGGGATATATTTTTTTCTTTCAGAAACAAAAGTGAAAGATAGACAGCTTGTAAAGATAGTTGTAGTTACACTCTTGACGGTCGACTACATCTGCCAAAGGGTTTAAGATTTTAGCTGAGCACTGCATTAATCAGCTGCCTTTTAGTGATGCTATGTCCTATATAGTTAATTTAAATCATAAGTAAATTTAGGCCTATATAAGGCATATTTTGGAAGGTACTTTGTAGAAGGAACTATTTGTAGAAATTGCCAAAACCACAAACATTTCCAATATCTCATCATATTAAATGTCCTATTAATTAATAAGCTGAACGACGTCACCTCCATGTACACTGTCATCAACATGGCCGGACCCAAGTCTCGGGCGCTGCTTAGCGAACTCTCAAACACTGAGTTCCGCATCAAGCATTTCACCTGCAAGGTATTTTGATATGGTTGAATCTTGGGTTTTGGGAGATTACCTCATTAAACTAGGGGATATATTTTTTTCTTTCAGAAACAAAAGTGAAATTGTTAAGCTTATCAAGATTACCCAAGCAAACTGATTAGTAATCAGTGCTTACAAAATGGTAATAGGCTCTCCTCTCCATATAATATTCCACACCCAGCAAATTAGACCTCTCATATTCTTACCTACTTGATGCATAGAACACTACTTAGACACTGAAGCTCGTGTGTGTAATAGGCAATTATCCAGTATATCATGTGTGTTACAGAAGGTGGATGTCGGATACGCCAGTGATGTGATGGTGATGGCTCTCACACACACAGGAGAGCCTGGCTACTGTCTGTATGTGCCTTCAGAGTATGCTTTACATGTCTACGATCGACTCATCAATGTAAGTAGCTTGATATGAAGGACTAGTCTTAGCATACACAATTTTACTAATTATATTTTCCTGATAGTTAGTGGGCCTACTGCAAAAAATATATTTAGCAAAATTGAATATTAAGACGGTGCAAGTTGTACCGATACCCCAATGTTTATGTGGTGAAACTGTCTGTGTTCGTGTCAGGTGGGCCGAGACTACGGCGCCCGAGACGTAGGAGTGTTGACACAGAGGTTCCTCAGGATTGAGAAGTTCATTCCTCTGTGGGCCGAGGACTTGACTAGCCTCACAACACCTCTGGAGGCAGGCAGCAACCTGGTCAGCTTTGAGGTTAGTAGCTGTGCCGTACTATGTGATAAATTCCATTTGAAGTGCCAATGTAAGTTTGGAATTGCAGACAGTTGAAAGTCTAACAAAACCAAAACATATCTCACCTGTTGTAATCTGAAGGGGACACAGTAGACTGTATAGACGATCAATATTAAAGAATTTTGTATGTTGGTAATTTTATGCTTTCGGTTGTCTGTCTACGGAGGTTTAGCCAACGACAAAGACAATAGTTTCAAGTGAACGAAGATTATTGAACTGACTAGTAGTTTTGTCTACGTCGGAGGAAAATTAATTACAGATTGTTGCCAGATGATTTATTCTCTCAAGCCAAGTTCACATGAAGCAAGCAATTAGGTAGGCAGGTAACTAGCTTCAGGTAACTTGAAGTACATAACAAGAGGTAAGTAATCTGCTTCATGACCTCTATGGGAAATGGTGCAGCTACGCTGTGTAAATGTCTGAAATCTCTTCCAGTCTTTAGTCTAACTCATATAACCCCCAGATAGCTTCTGTGCGGAGTTAGCAAACTGCTCATCATGCCAGTGATTTTCCCCAGGAGCTTGGTATAGAGCAGAGTTGTGTGAAGTGGACCTCTGGGAAAACGGAGAAAGGATTACAATATTATAACACAAGTTGGACACAGCAAGAGTTCCTAGAAAAGACGCTTTGAGCATGTCCCAAGGTCATTCTTTATGCTGAAGATGAGTTGTTTTAGTCCCACACCACTTGTGTGAGTAGCCATTTTTCCTCCACATTGAAGTAAAACTTTCGATTGACAGAAGCCGCATTTCATCGGACGAGAAGCGTTGTTGAGGCAACGAGAGCGAGGAGTGACCCAGCGGCTGGTGATGTTGGAGCTGGAAGACATTGACCCTGATAAGGACATTTGGCCGTGGGGCAACGAACCTATCTACCGCAACCACCAGTACTGCGGTACTGTCACTTCTGCTGGGTACGTTACTTGTCTTGTGTCTTTGACTTTGAGAAAAGTAGGCATTCCATTCCCATGTTAAGGTATTAGAATGAAAATGAAGTTGAGCCTCTGACAGAGTATGTTGATGTTGATTACCGATTTTTGTTGAATTGCAAGCCAAGCTTAAGAGTCCTTGGAGCCTAAACGTTTAAACTCACAAAAATTCTCAAAAAATGTTTTATGAGGTAAGATGTTTCCTAAAATGATATTTACTAGAGTTTAATTCAATTCTGTTTGATTCCAGTTATGGCTTCAACATCCAGAAGCTGATATGCCTTGGGTTTGTGAGGTGTATGGGTGAGATTGTGTCGACAGACTACATCACCGACCCCTCGGCCGTTTATCACATCGACATCGCCGGCAATAGAGTCAGATGTAAGGCTCATGTCTCGGTGCCACAGATCATCGGTTTGGACGAGTCCAATGATGACGTTCGACAGTACCGGCCAAAAGTCGTCACCTCTGTGGTCTCGTAAATCTTGTAACCCGTACACTTAACATTTATACCGAAACCCCGGTCTGACAGGCCCACGGGAATTTTCAAAAACACATGTTGACAAAACTGTTTACTTGGGGAATTCCATTTGTGGGGGTCTCACAGACCGGGGGTTTCGGTTAGCGTCAACCAGGATAGGGTTTCGGTATTAATGTTAAGTATTGGTAATGTGCCATAAGTCCATAAGAGAAAGTGAGATTGCGTAGTCTTTCTTTACTGTGATTTTAATGAAAAATGTATATATTTGTTGAAGCTTGATCAAATTTTACGGTTTTATTGTTGAGGTTATAGTTAGGTGTTGTTAAAATTTACAAACAAGTGTAGTAAAACGTAAGTTTTAGTATGAGTTAATGTTATACTGTTCACGAGGATGAATAAGTCAAAATTGTTGAGGTAAAAGTGAAATTTGCAAATAATGTAACCAAATCTTGCAGTATTTTTAAGTTTAGTTTAGTAAACATGGGTTAACATTTGTAAACTTAAGGACATCCACTGGTTTGAAGAGTTATGTCTGTTTAAAAAAAGAACATCAGGTGTTGGTCATAAGGGATTAGTGCAATGATAAATACATTTAGTATTTAGTGTTACTCAGATGAAATTTATTAGTTTTAATTGCAATCTTTGATGATGGACCAGCTTTATATAAAATTGTAAGATTTTTCTCATGAGCTTTAAATGTAAATGAGTTCCTTAAAATGGGCATTTAAAAAAAGAAATTCTTTAGTTCTATAAGTCTCTAGATCTTATGATATAAAACTCCAATTATTTTGTTTTGAGGTTAAACTTCAAACCTGTTAACAAGCCTTTTCAGGGCAAATAAGATAATTTTAAGAAAGATATTTTACAGAGGGCATAAGAAAATGAATTTTAATTTGGAGTAAATAGTGAAGCAGAAAATACTCAACTAGATGCCTAGGCCAACTTTTTGTGACATACTTTTATTTAATTTATATATGTGGTGCTATTATGGTTTTAGTTCATAGTTACTCAGTTACAAAATGATGATATTAGAATAGATCTTAGAAACAATTACTTACAAGTTAATCCACAGGGTCTTATGCCAGGGTAATAAAATGGTTAGCCCAACTTACTGTTTTGGGATAGTGGGACTTAGTGCAATTTAAGGATCAACTATACTAGTAACCCTTCCCGGACGGGCGAAATCGTGATGTAGGACAGGAAAAATTATTTAAAAAAATAAAAATTAATTTTCCTTTTTTGTGCTTTGTTATACAAGTATACATGAAATAAACACAATAGAACACCTCATAATGTCAAAATAATTTTTTTACTCGTTTTTAAATATGCGGATGTATCCGCTACCCGTCCGCGGATTAGTAGAAAAGCAGCGGATATATCCGCCACCCGTCTTTGAAGATATGACCATGACAATGTTAGGCAATAAATAAAGAACAATATGTAAACAATAAATAAAGACAACGTAGTGTTGAGCGCGAAACATCGAGGGGGGAGCGTAGGAGAGGTGGGAGGTGCGAGGGGAGAGGATGATGAGCGTGAGAGGGTAGGCAGGTGAGAGAGGGGAGAGTGCGGGAGAGAGCGCAGCCTTGGAGAGAGCAGGAAAGTGGCGCCTTGGTACCGCGAAACATCTGGTTACTGCTCAAGCACCTGCCAGTCTGTCTGAAAAGAAGGCGGATATATCCACTTCCCGTCCGGAACATCAAAAATCATAAGCGGATATATCCGTCACCCGTCCTTTATCGATCGCCAAAGACTTAGGCTAATATATCCGTCACCCGTCCTTTATCGCCAAAGACTTAGGCGGATATATCCGTCACCCGTTGGGGAAGGGTTAAGTTCATAGAAGAAACAAAATGTTGGCTGTAGCTGGAATATGTGTTCCTTTTAAGTAATTAGTTATGTAAATATCCACAAAAAAAAATTATATAAAAAATAATCTAGTATGAATGTTTAGTTTTGTGAGGTTTGTTGAATTTTTAATGTGACAAGTAAAATACATTACAAAAATGTGTCTTATTTTCCTAAAACCTGTAGGCTATTTTGTTCTTATACACTACTGACCAAAAAAGTTAGTTGTAAATGACTGGAAACAACCCATTAATATAAATAATAAAATAGGCATTACAACTTTTACATGATGCTATAAAGCAGTTTTTCAATAGATTCATTAATTGTCGAGAGATAAATATTTCTCTCAAGCCATAATATGGGATGGAAAAAATCCCAAGATAGTCCGTCCCTATCAATCAACATTACAAATTGGGGATAAATAACTTTTAAAGATTTGAAAAAAAATATAATTGATTTAACTATCACAAAATTACAGTACCACTGTAAAATGGGCAACGAGCTTATAGTTATTGACAATGCATCAATAAACCACCCAAACATTGATAAAATACAGGAATCATCAGGAAACGAGCTTGAAAGTGACACTAATGCAACTAAATATTACTTTGAATAAAAGGTCCAGAAAATCATTATTAGTAACAAGAAAATTACAAATTATGATAATTACCATAAGGGAATACCAATACCACCTCTGTGTGTCCATAAAGTTATTGGCTTACTGTACAAAAAATTAAGACTCCGTTTCGTGCTAAATCGAACAAATCAGAGTTGGCGAGTTTGAACTCACAGTTTGTATAGTATGCAAGAAATTTTTTGTACTTCCTGCCAAAGATGTGTACACAACAATGCAATGATACACAGCCCAAAAATATGCGTTGTCAACACAAAAAAAGTAACAGAAACAGCAACCCGCTACAATAACTAGTGTGATGTTTTACTTAAAACCATAGACTAACCAACATAAGTAGACTTCTCATCCCATTGTTAATACATTTTGAAGATCGTTTTCGGGTATAGTTCGTTTGGTGACACTGATCTACTGATAGTTATATGGTGTTGACAAAATTTGGTTTCAATTGTTTTAATAGGTTTAATAGTTTAATTATAATATTTTAAGTGCATCAATTAAAAAATCTTTTCCCTAAAAAAATCTTTTTCAAGCAAAGTAGTTTATTTGAATTTTCAAATTATTCCATTATGATTTGGTTTACTATTTTTTATAGCAATGCAGAAGAAACACTGGGGTAGCACACTTGCCTATGTCTGCTGATTTTATAAAAAAATCTACCCTAATAAAGGTAATACAGAAATGGTAATTTTAATTTTAGTTTATATTTTGTAATCGTAACGTATTAAAAGTATGTATTTATGTAATTCTGTACCATGTGGAAAATAAACATATTATTTTTATTTAATTCATTCATGATTATTGCGCTTTAATGTTTAGATATTTAACTAGGAAATGATCGAGTTGTTGTTTATGACTATAAGTTTACCGTTCTATTTGGTTAAACGGATTTTTTAATCGATTGAAATAACAAGAAACAAATTGTCAACAAAAACGACCGCTACAGTCACGGCCACCTTTAGGTGGTCGTGCCTACAAGTGCACCAGACAATAGACATAGTTAAGCAATTAACAAGAATTTCAGACATCGACATCGGATGAGAAATTTACTAAAGGGATTGTTTTATCTATGCTAAAACCATAGATAAAACATAAAACAATCTAAAACCAACACCGGACCATTTACTCGGTGTTATTAATTAATACCTTTTAATGCCATGGTGGAAGGAAAAAACAATGCAAACAAATGCTCTTGCTATATAGTGCTATTTATAGTGCACTATGTGAGGCATTTCTACAACCAGACGCCCCTGATTTTTAGCTGTCACTTGGCTGTTCAGCCCTACGCAGCCCTCCCTTTCCCAGCTTCCCTTATTCACCTTGGGGCATTTTGCCGATTAGGCATTGTGAAACATTGTCACTACTCTGATAGTAGCTGTGGCACGTTTTCGCGTCCAAGCACAATGAAACAATTTTCAATTAGGCACTGTGGGACTATGCACTATGATATGTCACCTGGGTTACCATTCTTTTTGTCTATGGTTAAAATCACGGCCGCCTTTTAACTCCGCACTTTGCCTAATCTAACTCAGTCCGGTCCCTTACCGCCTTAGGTTTCTTTTATGCACGGCGTTTTCGGTCGGGCGAAATCGTCGGGCGGAATCGATGTACCTTTTATGCAGTTTCTCCGCCGAGCAGAATCCGCTGATGCCCGTGGTGGGGGTGGTCAGTGCTACCAACTTCGTTCATTTGCCATCGTCAGTGACCCAAGATGGATCCTTGTGTATTGGTGTATACTTATTTGTACATGAAGAGAAATAGACGACGGCGAAGGAGATGGCAGTGTTGGCAGTACTGCAGGTTTGCCAATGTGATGCTGATTGCCTTTGGTACCAAAATTACCTTATCAATCCCGGGTGATACCGTTGATACAAAAATTCCCATTTCAGTCCCGATAATACGTAAGCCGTATTATTCCTACGAAACAGTAAGTTTGTATTATTCCGCGGATTTAAACAAAAATGTAATTCTCATGCAGTAATTTTCCCCTAATTACATCTCTTTATTTGTACTCTTCAATCAATTACAATGAATAATGATATTCTATTTACAATGATTAAGGTGATTTCAATACTGTGGATGACAGAGCGTGGGGTAGGTTGGCAGCACTACATTCCGCCCGACGGAAATCGCAGTTGCATAAAAGGGTCCCATTTAAACCTATGTTAAAACAAGCTCCGGCGAAACGCCGAAACTCGGCGGAGTCTAAGTCTTCCGTCGGCCTCCGACGGAATTCTGAAACGCGACGGAGATTCCGTCGTGCATAAAAGGGTCCCATTTGATCCCATGTTAAAACACTCACCGACGGAAAGCCCGATAGATTCTGATAGATTCCGCCCGACGGAAAACGCCGTGCATAAAAGAGGCCTTACCGCTACAGCTGATTTAAAAATAAAAGAAAAAGAAATGGCTGCTGAATGCTGCTTCTGGCTGTCGATTATTATTGTCGAACTGAGTGAACTGTCAGTTGAAGTTTAAGTATTTATTTTAGGGTAGTTGAACTATTTTTCTATGGCTTTATAGCAGTTGTTTCTTTTTAAATAATCTAATAGGCTTATTAGTATTATCAATTCAGGGTTATGAACCTTTTATTTTTACATTTTTCTCAAATTCAATGTAGTGAAATGCAGCTTAACTCATATATTTATGGTTTACATAGCTGGTTATGTTTTAGGTTATAAATTTCTGTAATAGAAAAAATGATGACAGCAATAACAAATTTCTATTAGAAATGTATTTGCCTTTAAAGTATCCTAATACTTGTTTCAAATGGAAAATAATAATAAGGAGTTATATGCTCTTTTGGAAATGTACAACAGTGAATCAGGATCTGACAATTCAGAACTTGTGCTAGCTCCACAAAAAAAGAAGAAACTGACCAAACACAGGTATGTGAACACTATCAATCAACTGACATACTCATATAAGTTAACTACAAAATTGTTGGGCTGCACTTTACTTTAGGTCCTACACTCATTCAAATGAAAATATCGCTTGCTCGAAAATCGATATATTGATCGATATTTTCATTCGAATGAGTGTAGGACCTAAAGTAAAGAGCAGCCAATTGTTGACCTTGTGGGTACAGTTTCTTTATACTGGACTATGCTAAACTTAATATCGATTGTACAGTAACTGTCAATTCGATCAGTAAACCTTCATTCACCTTTTGAGGGTGCACAATAAGCTGTTCCAGCTTCGATGCAATCCCATGGTTACTTAAAAGCCTGGCCCTCTGTAAAAAAAATAAATAAATAAAAACAATTTTTACCAAATAGGTTGCAAATAGCCTAGGTTAGGCTAATGTAGAGTAAGTTAGCGTTTCATCGTTAATGATAGGCCTAGGGCCATAAAAGTGATACACGAATAAAGAGTCTTGTTAGAGCATGTAGGGAGAAACCTTTCCAGAAGGATTCCCTATAGGTTATTTTAAATGGTTGTGTGGAAAAGAGCGTTTTAAGTTGGGGAAGGGGTAGGCCTAATAAAGAGGGAACATCTGAGGGGCATTTGTTAACTCGAAATAGGCCTACTTGTTATTAGATATTAAAAAGTTAACTAACTTACCGTCAAGTCTAATAGCCTAGAGTTTATGTGTCTGCCCAACAGGTCCAAGATCACACAATAGTAGAGTACAGCTTGTCACATCTAAGCTGGCACTTGGCCTAGCGTGGGCAGTGTAGGCGGGAGGAGGGTGGAGGTAGGGAAAAGACCAAACTGCAAATGCCTCATGGGGTTGACTCCCCTTGTATTATGTACTCAAGCACCTTCATATGGGTTGGGAGGACTGTTGATGCAATCCGAATTCACAGAAAATTAATGTTTTTGAACTAGATACTAGAAGGGATCGGTCAAGTGCCAGCTTAGATGTTACGAGCTGTACAGTGTGTAAAACATATTTTACATGAGACTTACCAAGTGTTAAATGCTAAAGATTAAGTGTGGCATAAGATTTGCTGAATGTTGTTGCTCCTGCTTCCTGTCCCGACAAACCTCATCCACAAACCTCTGTACCTAGCCTAATTCTGGCAGGATGTTGGGCATTATTGGGAAAGACACAAGCTATGGACGATAGCCTCTTCCGAGGCTAGTGGGGGATCAGTGGTACTGCATTTTGAGACAGTCAAAGAGGACGTGGCATGGATGAAAAGTGTAATTCCCTCCTCAGCTCCAAGACGAACATTTTACCAGATACCGGTAGCTTTTTTCCCTATGTTTGATTCTATCTATGTAAGTAACCAAACACAATGAAACTATCTAGATTGAATTTTCTAGGAAGCGTAGACAGAACTCTGCCACAAGAACGTTGACACCGCAGGTCTGCGGAGGCCGAACGGTCAGTCTTACTCTTGCCCTATCTCTCTTGCTTTGCTGGCTTCTCACTCTGACTTGGTTAGCCATCGCTCTCAATTCTCAGATTCAACATCTCGACTCTACTGTACAATCAGGTTAGTTGCACTCTATATCAGTAATCTACAAAACTTTTAGGCTGTATTTATTTATTTTAGTGCGTTTATAGGGAATTTCCCCTAAAGGGAATAAGGTAGGTAGGTATTACCATGGTGAGACCCAGACCCAGGACCTTTTAATAACACCATCTGTGAAAATGCACATAGGCTAGGCCTACAAATTTATTATCGCCTATACTTAAGCTATGTCTGTTAGAACGACAACTCAAGCAAAAAACATCAGATTTTGATTAAATTGGTTACAAACGTGTAAACCTACGTTTATTTGAAAAAGTTTTCTAACCAGCAGGATCGGACCATGGGAACGGGGTTTTATGGGGTGAAAATAGGGGTTCCTCATTTTTACCCTTAAAACATAGAATTTTCAATATCTCTCTGAACCATTTTGTACAGCTTAAAAAAAATTTTAGCAGGCCCTATCTTGAAGTGTTTTTGTATAATTATTGGCAGAGAAAATTTTAAAAGTTGTAAATTTAGAAAACTGTTCCAGTTTTATTGTTTATGGATTGATTTGAAAAAATATTTGGCAAATATTAAAAAAAACATCTCCCCTGTAACAGCTAACACACAGAGAAGTAAGATACAGAGGATTCCATCTTATGGGACAACCGTGTGCTTTTAGTTCTGGTATATTGGGGCGGAATTGTACTTACTAGTATCGAGCAAGGATGAGCCAGAACAAATATGGCCACATAGCATATTTGCACAGCTGGTGTGGCGTACAGGGTTTTCTTAACAGCACGAGCGCTGTAGTACTTGATGGCGAGGGGGAAAGGAGAGCGGAAGGAGATGACAAATAGAATTTGCTCTAGACACCAGCAACTGGTGCTAGACACCACTTAAGTGTACGACTGAATGTGTCCTCTTTTTCTTACTTCTCTAGGGCTAACCTAGCCTTAAGTCTTACTGTAGGCCTACCGGTACATGTTAAATCAAAAGTAATTTAAATGGGAAATAAATATGACTATGAAAATATCTTAGTAGAATCGAATCAGACAATTGAAATACCCCTAGTCTGCAGGTTTGCTGCAGTGGGGGTAGGATGGCTTCTGTTGGAATCCCTCTAAGTTTGCTGTTTCAAAAGTGAAATTTACACTTATACATAACAAATAAGCAAGTAGGCTATGATAAAAAAATATAATGTTTTTATTAGTACAAACTGGACCAAGCAAATTTACCTTCTCTACTTCACAAATTCTTCGGCCCTTTTCTCACTGGGCCACCAGTGTGAACAGGTGGTGGAGACACCAATGGCACAACCATGGTGGCCAGTCAAATGTGCATAGGCCACCAGCTCAGCCACCAGTGCAGCCACATACCCTTACAGTTTACCTGCTAAATTGCACCCCTACTGCTGAGTTACCAAATGAGCATCTCCGAAACTAAAATAGTTCTTGTCGGGGCACGGAAAGTAGGTACCATGATGGCTGCTGAGCTGATACTCAGAGGAAGCCGTTCAGTCGTATCGAATAGCAAGACTGAGGCAGCTGATCCCCTTTTATCAAATTTCATTTCAGCTAATATTATTCAAATAGGAAACACATATGACATTATTAAGGAAATATTTGAGTAAAAATCCAATCAGAAAATGGAAATTTGCTTAGTGTGCAGGATTGCTGAAGCAGGGGTATTTTAATTTATGACAGTATTCAACAGCTGAAATGAATAAAATTAACTTATTACCACGTTACCAAAAGACAAATTAGTTTCAACCTTCATTCTTAATGTATAATAAGGTGTAACAACTGTGAAAAATGAAATGTAAAATAAAGCACTCTCCTATTTTATATCAAAGGATTGCCAAAGGACTGTCTGAGATATGCCACAGTCACAGAGAAGAAAGGCATAGAGGAAACAAGCTTATGAGTCCACCATGCGCTTTCAGCTCTGGGGGTATGTTGTCCCAGGAATTTACTGGTGCCGAGCAAGAAAGAGCTTGAACGGCAAATACTGTCTGGAAATGCCTATTATTCAGGGTACAGGGTCTTCCTCCACATGTACGTTGTAGTATATGAGGGCGAGGGGGTTGGTGTTGGGCTTTTCCCAAGACACCTGCACTAGTGCTAGACACCACTCAAGTGTACCATTGAATGTTTCCTCGGTACATTACTTCTCTGTGGGTGTGCTGAAACCTATGTGAAAAGCCTGTAACCAAAGACAAAGTACTACACTCTCTTCACCTACATTGTAGAAAAACACAACAAATTACATGCGATACACTGGGTTAGCCCATATATTAGGCAAGCTGAAGACATTGTCTCTTTTCCTAGGAGACAATTGTAGATTAAGGGTTCAAATCCTCATTGCAACTTACAGATTTTATGATAGATTCGGTGTAGAGGCCCACCTTAGAAAAACCGTGGATGATTTTGGATGAAAGTTGATGAGGCTAGTAGGTTCTTTGTGGGTATAATTAGATCAAGTATTTTGCTTATGTTTACCCTCTCTACTATGTTATGCCCAATAGAACCATACTGCCTCTCTTCATATGTCCCATTACGTCTTGTTGTGTATCTTGTAGTTTGACCAAGTAGGATATATTTTCAGCCAATAAAAAAAAAAAACAATTTCAAGTTCTGTTAGAATCCTACACTTAACATTTATTGTCGTGTAACCTTATTGAGATTTAATTTCTTCATCCTCTCATTCTGTACCTTAGAAAACAGAAGAAGTTTTTGTAAAGTAGGTGTTCAATACAGTGCTAAACCTCAAAATACATGACCAGTATCCACTTTTGTTTGGCTCCTACCTCCTAAAGATCTGTCCAGTTGTGGTGATCTATCCAAGACAATTCAGTTCTTGGGGGGTTTCAGAGCACACCAAGGCATCCAAAAATAGACATTTTTATAACCATTAACTACAGTAGAATGTCAACTATCTGAGCTTCCGTGTTATCCACCATACATTTATACAAGGACAAGTATCTCTTTATCTTGTGTTATACACTAAGTTGTTTATTTATTTCATAGGTTATTTGTCATATTTGTAATGATGGATTTTAAACTTAGCTGTTTCGATTGAAGACAAACTTAACGCTGAATAGAAATAACAAGGAAGAAACTCGATTGTTAAATGTTATTAATATTTGTGCAGTGTTTGTCTATTATTTTCTGTGTTGTACGGCTTAGGGTGGATAAACAAGACTCTACTGTCTATAGATTTTATATATTTTCAAGCTGGGTTCTAAATACATGTGAAGTTTGTTATTTTCACAACTGAGATATTGTAAATTATCATCAAAACAGGTTGTAAGCCTTACTTGTGCTATTATTTGCTGCAACTACAGTACAGTTGACAGAAAATACTTTTCCTACAGTCACCTGACAAAGTGGGCTTCCTTGCAGTGGTTTTAGTACAGAAAGTTGCTAATTGCTGCATTTACTTACTTTTGCCATGTGCGCTCTTTTTTATTTTGGGCACACTCTTCACTCTTTTTTTTGCACTCCAGTATTCCAACCAAACAACACAAAACTGCGTGGTTTTATTAGTCACGTAATACGTGTACGCTTGGAAATAGGTTGGCAACACTTAAAGATACTACAACTACAATCAGCTGATCCAGTGTTTCCCATTTTGTTCAACGCTTGAAATTAACCTAACCTAAAATCATGTCGTGTTGTGTTTGAAAGACCAATTTTTATATGCTTTATAGTAACTGTAGGAAAAATATAATGTGTAACGCGAGTGCAAAGTGTCTTTGTTGCACTCAAGAAACTTTTCCCACTCGCCTGCAGCTTGTGCGTAAACATTTCTCTGATGTGCAGCAAAGTGCCACTTGGCACACTAGTTACACAAATAACTATGGTTTAGTTATATTTACAGTACCTGCAATCTGTAACGCTACAACTGCAGCTTGGCTTCTGACCAAAGAATGGCACAAAGTCTTCTGCCAATCATTAGGACAACTTTGACTTCATAGAAAATGATCTGAGAATGATCTGAAAATGATTTTGCATGCTTTGAACTTAGCACCAGATTTATCTAAATAGACAATTCTAGGGATTTTGCAAGTTTCTGAGGGGTGGAAGATGCACTGTTTGGGTTGGGAAAACTATAGTTATTTGACACACCTTCAGATATATAAGAGGTACATTCGGAAAGTAAGTTCCGTTTCCCCTACTGTCCAGGGTAGCACTACGATCGCAGTTTAGCGCATGCGTAGTAGTTACTCTGTGTCAACCGGAAGAAAATGACACCATTTTGAACTCGCTATTGTTGTCGTACACTTCGTAGATACTTGTTCGTAATGGCTGCGTTAATTGAGAATCCCGCCGATTGTGAAAGTCGATCGGTGATTCGTTTTCTTAATGCAAAAAAACTTTAAAGCAATTGACATTCACAGACAAATCTATGAGGTTTATGGGGACAATGTAATGAGTGATTCAATGGTCGGGTTCGATGAGTGATTTCAGAAGATGGGTTCGACAGTTCAAAGAAGGGCAAGATACAGTGCATGATGAGGAACAAAGGGGACGTCCATCACAACAATTATAGCTAAAAAAAATGTAAACAAATATTTTTCACTAATAACAATTATCAACCTAGGCTGCAGATACATTTATCAACCTTAAAGGGAAATTACCAAAAGAATGAGTAGTCAACTGCCTCTATTCACCCAAGAGAAGAAAAATTATATGCAGAATAAATAACATAGAGATATTGTAAAATTAACCATTTTCATGAAAGAGGAATCAGTATTGTATTGGGCTGATTATTTAAATATTGATTCAAAACAATATTTGTCAGTATAACCGAAGGAACACTTGAAGCTGAAATTAATTTGCTGGCAAGATCACATTATTTTATAGTTAAAAATGAAAGTTTCCAGTCAGTTTCCCTGCAGTCACTACAAAGTTATTCTACAACCTATCAGAAGAATGTAAAGAGAACATTAAGTTTAGAGGAAGGTCGAAAAGTACAGTAGACTCCCTCTTATCCGGACACCTTTTAATCGGACATCGGTTTAACCGGACTACTTT